AGGACTACAGAAGTTGTCGAGGACGTTGTACGTCATTACACCGAACACGTAAACACTCCCGCTAAGTTTGTTTTCCCTGTTCTGCTTGAAAGCAAGTACCTGCCTCCTGCAAACTGTTAAAACAAACGCTTCAACTTGTACAATTTTGAATCTGTATTTTTGAATATCGATCTTAAGTTGGCGTGACGTTGAAGCAGCGACCCTGCTGTAGTTCGTTTATAGCATAACGTTAGCATTTTGCTTCTGGCAATTAGATTTATGATTAGAAAATTATACAAGTAGGGCAGACATGTGGATATTATCCGGCTGAACAAAACGTGCATTTATCTAACAGGTTCGTTTTCCACAGACCTTATTTCGAGCTATTTTCCAAAATCCTATGGAGAAATCCCATTGCTTTTTTGTCGAGGGAACCCATGCGCAGCTTATTTCCGGGTAAATACGTCATCTCTGCACCACTCTATAGACTAGAGGTACATTTCAAGTTGTGTTATACATTGTGCAGTAATGACATTTGAATCATTTTAGATTACATTTCTATAAGGGGGCAGTGACTGTCACTGTGCATATTTATCAGTATGTGTTTAAGTCTGGGATTATTTGCTGTTGTGTTTTGGCCGGATACGTTTTTGTTGTCTGTTCATTGCTTTTAATAAAATATATAATCTTATTTTGTCTGTTTTGTCCTATTCAGGTCTTAAAAATCACCAGTTTAATATCAAGTCTATCTCGCTGACTTTCTGTTGACACAACAAGGAGGTTCAGATGCTTGGCAAGGATAATATGTCAGATGTTTCACAGCATGAGATCCATCCGATGCCCCCCCCCCCCCCCCCCCACCTACCTGTTCTGAAATCAGTGGAGCATCTGCTCTGCTGCTCTGGGATGTGCAACTAAAGACTCCCCAGGGCCAACTGCTGATCATCCACTGGATGAGAACAGTGATTCTGTCAGCTCTCCTCCTCTGTCCCTCCAAACCTAGAGAAAGCAGTCTCTGCCTCCACCTTGTGGTGCATCTTATCTACGACACCAGGACTTCAGCTGCAGTTTAAATAAGCAATATATTTAGAAATACAGCTGACACTAAAATTAAAGTCAGATTGGTCCACCTTTTTCTCAGTCATAGCCTACAAAACAATGATATTGCATTGAAGTGAGTAATCATAATCTCTAAAGAAATACAAATGATATTTTAACAGAGTATTGGAGAGTTTTGGCAGTATGTTGGTTTGTTAAAGTCTCACAGTTGTTTCTTAGGCATTTTATGTAAAAATAAATTATTGGAAAGAATATATACATTTGGAATTAAACTGTTACAAATTACGTTGCTTTATCAATTTTACTTTTTTATTCATTATATAATATTTCATGCATCCCTATATAATATTGTTTGGGAAAAATCATACCACTCCAATCGTCGTTTACTCTATTGGTGTAAAACCGATTTTTAAGATCTGCAACCTTTTCAAACTAACCAGGTCTTTACGACATAGTTAGACATTAAGAAATTGAATATTCTTTCAGTATATGAAGTGAATAATATTTAGATTCGTATATAACAATGTGTTCTGGCAGTTATTTTCTCAAGCCATTTCTTAATGGTTTCTCAACTTTAAAATAATATTGAACCAGGAAAACTTTTATGAAATTAGCTTATTCATACATTCCCAGTACATACATTCCTCAGTAAAAGTGAGTCAGCAGTTGTTTTGCTTTCCCATTAATGCACATTGGCCAACAGAGAGCACTGCAGAGCATGTCTTACATTTTGGTGTAAAGATCATGTAGTCTCGGAGTATGGCCACAAGGTGTCATACATCTAAAAGGAGACAGACGAAGGGTGGCTGTAGACACAGGAGTGCAGCGTGAAGGGCTGCATTAACTGCGATAAGGTAATTCAACACCGAAAATGACTATATGACATATTTGGAATTTAAAATGCACTCATAATTATTAATATATCTCAAGCAGCTGAAGAAAAAACATTCCATTTTAAAATACAAAATATTATGTTTAAAAATAATGTATCATAAACAATGTGAAAACAGCTGATGTTACAGACAATGTTTCCCAGGTTTCCATTTCACTGTTCTTTTACCTAGCAACATCACAGACCTTTGAACCCAAAAAAATGTCTTAGCAACAATCTGTATTTTTCCCTCTGCGCTTTAGGCAACATTTTCTCACTCCAGACCAACATTTAATGGAAAATGTCTCAGAGACGCCTGCTGTGTTACTGTGTCCCTGACCTATAAAAGCTGTCCTTACCAGCCCCTGACTGTCCAATGGATCTGAATATGTTGCAGCAGTTATACAAGTAATACAAAACGTTTAACCACCATGAATTGTATATAGATCTCCATCTTTTATTGAACTTGGCACTAGTAGAACTCTTACAGCAGCTGATTGATACAATGCTTGTGACACATGCTATGACTAAGGCTCCATTAAGTTCCTATCATTCATGACAACACTTTCAGTTCTCGAGTAGTGTTTGTATTCCTGGAAAACTATCCACAGTGAAACTAAAACTGGCCTCTTGAGTTTTTAAATATGAACTTATCTATACCATTATAAAGATGGTTGTTTGGAGGATGGTTAAATCTTAACATGTTAAACCTGAATTTGAGTGTGCTGGGGCCCCGGTTCCCCACCACCAGACATTCATTTGTGGAGTTATGACCTTGGGGACCCTGGGGAGTGAGGGGCCCTCTCCTTCAAAGCTGACCAGAAAGTTACAAAAAACCCACCTCAACAGACCCATTCTGCTCCCCCTCGAGTCATAAAGCAATCCAGAACAGCAAAAGTGAAATATCTCCCCCAAAACCTGAGACCCTTAACCCTTTGTTCCCGTCCTCATCTCCACAGAAAGATTAACTTAACGTCCGTGGAAAAATGTTGAAGAAATCCAGATTCAAAGAATTTCCAGTGGGGGGTCGTTTCTGGAAGCACTGCAAGATGTGTTTCAGGTATACCCCTCAGTCAACTGTCAGCTCTACATGAATAATGTATGTATGTGTGTTAAATGTATTCCAGATGAGCAGGAAAGTAAGGTCACTTCAACCCCCCTGAAGTCAAACCAGCAATGCAGTTTGTTCTGATGTAATGTCTACTTGTTATCCCATTGTATACTGCACATCTATCATCTATGGTTAGTCTAATGAAGGGGCCTCTTTAATGTTTTGTAGGAAAAATCTCTGGGAGCCAGAGGGGGACAGATGATCTATTAATTAGTCGGAACAATAAGCAAAAATAGAAGTGTGTTTCTTTATTTCTCTCCGTTTTCGTTTCCCCAATCATTCTGTACAGCTGCAACTAACTACCATATCTTTGACATGTAACTGTCAGAAAATTGTGAAAACGCCTGTTACAATTTCACTGACCTGAAGGCGAGGTTGCCAAACTGCTGGTTTTGTTTAACCAAGACTACAAAATATACAGTAATTAATATATTAAGAGAAAAGCAGCATATTTTGATATGCAGGTACTGGAAACGTCTGTATCCCCAACCAAAGTACCAGGAAACCTGTTGACTTGTTCCTGCTTGTTGCTCTGTTGTCCATCAACACATCTCTTCATGTGTCGACATAATGTGTCGAGGACATAATGTGGATGTGAATTGGCTGCAGAAGCTGTGATGTGTTACTGATGGGACTACACAAACAAGCCAGGGACTGCAAAAAACTGGAATGTTTTCACTGCCACGGATCTGAAGAAAAACACAGATCTTGTTTTCCTGACCCGTAACAAAGGCTTTCTTTCATTTCATTCAACTTTGTTACAACCACTTATTATAAAACATGAAGGGACATTTTTAGCTATTACTCAAATGTGTCGTAAAGCCCTGATTTAGAGGCAGTTTTCTGGTCAAATTACCTACTTAAACTACAATGAGCCTCCTTGTGTAGTCACTTTTTAAAACCTTGTTGTGATGCGTTTGCAGTGATTTAAAGCCCAGTTGTGACTTGAAACTCCATAGTTGACTATGAATAATGGCGTCAGTGAAAGCTGGAGACAAGGAGAACCAAAGCATCTGACAAGATATCGCTCCGCATACAGGTTGTGTCAGCGTTATCATCTTGTTTCCTGAGTCATCTGTGTCTAAGGCACTACCCCCCCACCCCCACCCTTGTGTCTTATTGCGTCGTGACTCATATCTGAAGCCTCTGAGGGGATTCAGGTTTTGATGGAGAGTACTACAAAAGTAAATGAAATTCTATTTCCAGGTAAACAAAAAACACATACACCTATTGCACATTTGGCAACATGGTGGTTTTCATTGTATTTCTATGTTTAATTCTGAAGGCTTATGAGAACAATAATGCATCATTACCTATACTACAGAGCGTTAAATATATTTCAGTGCCTACGTGCGCTAACAGTTAACTGCAATCACTCCTAACACTGCATGTTTTTCTGCTCTGGGATTGGTGTGCTAATCTCTGAAAACATTTATGCGTTTAGACCCTTACAGGTGGATATATAATTCGGCATAATAGGATCAAGTGTGATTATCCTCACTTATTTGTAGGGGTCAAAGGCCTAGGAAGGGGCTGCGGAGAACAAAGAGAGGCTATTTCACAGCAGCGTGGACCATAGCCACTGTCGATACAGTTTAAAGAAGCCTGTCTGCCAAGGACACATCTGATACTTTGATCCTAACTACAGAGCGAACTGGTGTTTGCTGGTTGATTTAAGAACTTGAGCATGTACTATGTGAGACAGGTAATTCAGAAAAGTTGAAAATAAAGGCTCAGCCAAAAAAACACAATGTTCTCAAATTAGATTTTAAGTTTGAAGATTTGTGTTGCTCTTTAATTTGAGAATAAACTGGTTTAAAATGTGAATCACAAAGAATTAGCATTAAAATAAAGCAATAAATGAAGTTTTTATGTTTGTAGATTTCAGGAAATCTTATCATTTTTCAAGTGATTTGATATCTTCTGCTTCTCCACACCAATTTCAGGGGCTTCCCTTCAGAGAGGAGATTTCTGGAGGAATTCATGAGAGGCCATTGTGTTTTATTGTGCAGGAAATTGAACATTCATTCTTTTGTTTACTTAATATAAAAAACAAATTACAGTAAAATCTATGCACAGCATGACATTATTGCAAAAAGAGAATAAAGGGAAAAGACACAACTCGTTCATGTTGCATGCAAACAAAAATGATTCAACTTACAAAATTAAAGTATTCAGTTTGAAATAAGTAGATCAAATAATTTTAATGTATGAAAAATATATCCATAAAACGGAACACTATGTACAAAGTAGTCGCGCCATGCAGGGCAGAGAGCTGCACCTTCACGATGATCTCCAGTATGAAAAACATCAGTATCGGTTCTCTGGTTTTAGACCGTTTAAAAACCGACCTTCACTAAATACTGAGGAGCACAGTGATGCGCACATCTCATCCTGCTGGTTCATCAAATGCGCATTTAGACGAGGAAAAGAAATACAAACTTTTGACACACAACATACTTTTGTTCACGGACTTAGTTAAGAAAAAACTAACCTTTTTTGTAGGTTGTTCCCAACAGGATGTCTAGATGTCCAATATGATATGAAATCACCTACTGTCTGCTATGTTGAACACATAACTTCGATCCAACCATATCAAAAATAAATACATTTACACCATTATTGGCGGAGAAAAATGTATCTAATAAGAGTTATAATACTGAATAAATGCAGCATTTTTTGTTTTCGTCACAGCTCTACAAAGATGAGAATTAATCTACACATTAATAACTAGATTATTGGATTTTCCCAGCGTTTCTCTGTATTGATCCAGCCAGTCTCTGAGCTCTGTGATTCGATAGCCCTCAGGTCCTCTGCCACCTTGGTAAACTATCTTTCCCTCCTGCAGAATATAAAGTCTGTCGAAATAAGCTCCGTACGCAGCGTTGGAGGAGTTTTCCATACTGTCGACCACCACCGGGCAGCCGGGCACCTCCAGGTGCATCAGCTGTGCCGCGTTCAGCCGGTCCTCCAGACACCGGTGTTTGGGGATCTGATAGGGCGCGTCAGTGCTCACCCAGCCGTCCGAGGGGTGCGCTTCTTCGATGTACACAACTACAGAGTCTGCTATGTCTGCGTTCTGCTGCACGACTCCCTGGAAAGCCTTGAGACGCGCCATGAACGGCGGTCAGGTGCAGCTCCCAAAGTTGAGGATGAGCGGTCTCTTGTCTTTTGCGTAATCGAGGATGCGGCTGCGCTGCTGATCCCCCAGCTGAACAACTTCGCTGTTAGGCGCTCCGTGCCCGAGATGTGCTGCCTTCAGGAAGTCCAGTTTATGGCCGTGCCACACTGCTTTGAGTGACTCCATGCTGAAGAGACGGTTCGAGTCCGATATGCACACTGGAGGATCGATGGCATCGCCCTCCTGCTCTTTCATCCTTAAGAAAACCCTTTTCCTTATGCATAAAAAGTCAAGCAGCCAAAACATGACTGCTGCCATCAGAAAACGGGGCAGCAAGACGAGACAGACTATTGCATTTTTAATAGATTTAATAGTATTCATTATCACTTGGAATTACTACCCGGATGGTATTGAGCTGTGCCACGATCTTGTGGGTTGAAGTTGGGTTACTTGCAACTTCCCCTCTTTTTATAGCACCGGAAGATTTGAATGAATCACACCCCGCCTCCAAACTGGGGCCGAGGCCTCACATGGTGGGGATTACCTTCTGTCAACTCCACAGCTTTGAGCCACAGCCAAGGTCCAAGGGTGCGGCACAGCAGTGTGATGTTCGCTCATGATATGTTATCATCAGACTTAACGTTTTCAACTAAATACTCATAAGGGATATACAGTGAAATCGTTTGATCCAGAATATTATTGGTGTAAAGCAGTGACGTGCGGTGAGGTTCATGGCTGGTGAGGCACTGACTCTTTCAGAGTCAGATTTACAAATATTATAGCCTATTTTGACCTTAATCGAAATATTCTGTTATTTTCAAAAGCTTTTTTAGTCTGATGCTATGATTAATTTTAAACAGACCGATCAACAAAAGGATACCCAAAATCTAAATATTGGATTGTTCTTTCTAAGTAAGATCCCATTTTCATTACAGTTGTGTTATACCTTGACTTGAAGATGAATATAAGTCCATGCTATCCTTCTGGACAACAATCTCTATTACTGTTTTGTAAAAGTCCTCCTTATCTTCCTGTAGTTTCAAAAGTGTAGTTTGTTGTTTGCGGTAGAATAACAGTAGCAACAAGAACCTGTGGGCTCACGTGCGCCCCCTTCAGAGCGGCAGAGGTTATGGCTGCCTCTCCTGGTGCTTTTTTCATTGCCGTTGTACGATGAGACCAGCGAGCCTAAATATCATATATACGTGAAATAAGTTATTTAGAGACTATGGATGGCGAGGATAAATGTAATAAAGGGATCTACAAACATTACATTGGTGACCTACAGTGAGATGGGAACAGGCATGCGCTTAGGGCCCGCTTTCCAGCCAGTTTCTGTGGGGTGACGCATTCTGAAGTGAGGCAGAGCTCATCTCTGCCTCACCTCACCCCACAGTAAATGGCTTGAGCGCGCTCACAAAATAAGTGGCCGCGCTAAATTAGTGCCCGCGCTCCAGCAAGTTACTGTGGGCTTACGTGAGGCAGTGCTCGTCCCTGCCTCACTTCTCATCGCTCCCGTAGCGGAGCTCGGCAAATTTGCTGATTTTGACTATAAAATGCGATTGGAATCATACAGAAATCACATTTACACAAGATCAGTGGAGACATTTTATTATTATTATTATTTAGTTTTTCTTTAATTGTTTTTCCGTTACATTGGAGTATGACAGGTGAGGCTCTGCCTCCCCTGCCTCCACGTCGCTGGTGTAAAGTGGGTGCTGCTGCAGACGTTTCCACTGCAACGTCAATGGCAGTTTGCTGGAGCACATTTTGGCAGATGCTGACTAGCTACTCCACTTTAAGGACAGCTTGTACAATTACTACACTGCATGATATACTAACAGACAATTGACTGTTTGTCCTTGAGCAAAAGTCATATCGTCCATGTCGACCGATGTTAACTCATCAAATAGATATTATCACTTAAAGGGTACAATACACTCACATTCAGAGGTGAATATGAATATGGCACATCTTTAATTTCACAATAATTAAGTATTGAAAATATAAAGCAGTGAGAATTATGTGAAGTGATTCATTCTGATCCTGATCACAAATCCTGAATTATTTGAAAAAAGGGTCTCAATATTTTAGAAAGTCACAATATTGAGTACATTTCAGAAGTGACATTTTAAGTAAGAATACGAGAGTATGAGAAAATGTGAATTTTGTGTTTCATGTGAACATAATCCTCTTCCTCAGATGCTATACTGTTTCAACTAATGTACAACAGTCTGTAGTAACATTAAACAAAAACACATTAACAGGGAGTCTGTCGGGGGAGGCTGGTTCCTGTGAAGCATTTCAACAGTAAGCTTCTATAAAAACCCTAATTGTTCTCAAAGTAGTAATCAAAGGGTCCAAAAACCAAAAAGATGTACGTGCACTGCGTGACAGTTTGCCCAATAAGTTTAAATGTGCCCCCGACCAGCACTTGTCCGGACAAGGTATCACATTTCAAACAGTATGTTCTTGAACCCTGATCTGCTGTTGGCAGCTAGATATCTGTGCAGCCTTATTTGGCTTATGGCAGCTTCACTACAGATCATCTGACAAAACAGGGCTAACTGACTGAGCTACATGTATCGGCCTTTCGAGACCATCGATTAAATATAGCTGTAAAGCTGTCTGACAGACAAATATGATCTACTACTCAACTTGAAATGTGTAATTGGTTATGTTTAAATGCAAAACAAGTTATGGATAGAGCAATGTCAGCTCATCAGCCACCCAGAACTGGCTCTGTAATAAAGGAATATACAAAGAATTGAAGATGTCTGATTCAAAACGGCACAAATAGATTCATGAATGGATGCCACATTTTCACATGGATTCTCTCTGTAGTTGACTATCTACTTCATTTTTAGGTGAAATAATTTCGTGTCACTGTCATCATTTCAAATGAAAAATAACAGATTTCAAGTAATGCAGCAGTCGCTTCCTGGAAGATAGCCTGAGCTGCATAGTCTTCACACTCCCTGCTGGTCCCAAACGGCACGGTACAGTGGAGGCTGGATTAAATGCCTTGTTAAAAGCCTTAGCAAAAAAGTCAAGCATGAAGCCCGAAATGATTACAATTTATAACATGACCGCAGAGTTAAGACAGGATCTGGAGAAATGAGGTCTCGAGCACACGGTAAGAGTTAAAGCACTTCAGTCTGTAGCTTCTTATTAAGCTATCACAGAGAAATTCACAGCATGCAGATGGCTGCTCTCATATTTGTAAAGAAAAAATAAATGCACAAGCCAAACACATGACAAATTCGGTCATAGTAGAGATTAATAACGAATTCTGTAATATTAAACCTGTGGTTATTCGGCTGAACACAGATTGTTCTCCAATGAAATCAGCTGACTATTATAAGCAATACTTAAAGTTTCAGCTATCACAAACTATAGAAAAGTACAACAACATTGAGAAATATTACAGAGAAACCTATTAAAGGCAACTGCAACAAACACTTTAAAAGCTTTACTCTCACCAGGGAGCCGAAGGACGATATTCAAAACACCCGTGAGAATCCACCCACAGAAATAAACAACTTCATTAGCTTCATGTATAACAAGGCCACAAACTGCTTTCCAAAGGAAAAGCTAAGAGAGGGGCTAAAAGCATCTTCTCACAGCACTACTGCACAGAAAACCTTCCACACATTATTGCCTGAAGTCCGCTGCACAGTTCGGCTGGTTGTTGTGAATTCCAACAACAGGGAGTCTAGAAGATCAAAGATAAAATGAGAATATTTTAAGTATTACAAATAAGAACTAAATAAGAGGACTTTAAGACCATAAACCCACAGTATTGTGGACTGTTAACGCCTGACTAAAGATAACAGATGTGTTGTTCAGGATACCTCCCTTTCTCAGCTCTGTCGGGTCGAATCTAAACTTTGCACAAATGAAAGACTTGCTGTAATTTAAGTCTGCATGCATCTCAAACTGGGGTGGGATAGGTAAGAGACCGGGTCATTGTTGTGTCGTCAGGTTTTTAAATAGTCCGGTTTCTAACATGGAGTTGTTTACATTTGGCTCTTAATTGAATGTGGTGATCACACACACGATCAGCTGATCTTTTTTAGATATCATATTTGTGCTAATCTTAATTAATATCATTTTTACTTCCTTACACATAGCATCAGCTTCGGTTATGTCTGTGTTATGCAGCTTTTTTACTCCAGTAAACAATCCACCATAAACATTTTCAAGCTCTTCAATAGGCTGGTTTTCCTGCTAAAGGCAGGTTGCCCAATGACCTACACTAGGTACAAAACAATGCTGCCAATAGGTGAACGTTTGGTGAGGTGTTTAGGCCACCTTTATTAGATATATCTTTTAAATGTATGTATTCATTCAGTATTGATAGAATTGGGCGTAGAATAAATGTGTATATTAGTTAATTGCTACTGTGCCAAATATTGTTTTCTAAAGCTAAATAGAGAAAGAAAAATGTTAAGAATATAGCTCCCTAGTTGAATTGGCAACTTGTTTTGTTTTTTAAGCCAGTGTCTAAAATCTTCTCTGGTTCTGCAAGGATTACACAGCTATATTACATGGTGAGAGATACTGTAGGGATCCCATATATCCTCATTTCATGCATGTCCACACACTGATTAATGTTAATGAGTGTGTGTCGGGTCTTGTGTACTAGAGAGTGATTTGTTCAGCGTCTGTATGCTTCACAGGGATTCAACATCTGGACACACATATTAGCACTCACTGGCCAAATGCCATTCACTGGTCTGGTGTGATTGTTCAACAAAAGCATTCCAGGCCTATAGTGAGCACTAGTGAGCCCATGGTATATTGGTTAAGCCGTAATCTCCTGTTACAGTAAATCCATGTCATATTTGACAGCTGGGTGGCCGAAAACCAGACATGGAGGGAAGATGTCTTTTGTCTGCAGCGCACTGTCGTCTCGGTTTATTAGCCTAAACACACAAGTGGAGTCCATAAAGTTCCCATAACAACATATTGTCATTACATAATCAAAAAAAATAAGCAAATGTTTTTGTTTAAAATTGTTGAAGTTATTTCCCTAAATTATTTTCTCATATTTCAGGCTCTATACTCAGATTTGAACAAATCTATTTGTTATTGATAATGAATAGGTTTTTTTTGTATTCATACCTTGAGTTGTGGAGTGAGGGCTGTTGAAACACCGCATTTTGAGAGGTCCAAGTTACTGTTATCAATCAATCAAAAGCAAAACAAGAAGAGTGAGGTGGGAATACACCAAGATAATAAACCCAACGGATGCACTTACACTGAAACAAGCTAAACATTTACTATAATATTCCTCACATTAATAAATGAAACGGCAATGGTTTAATGGCACCCAACTGGAGAATAAGCGCCATCTGCTACCTCAACTCATAATAGCATTAATGGTTATTAAAAAGTCAAACCAACTTTCCAGGAATTCAGTTAAAATGTGTGTTCAATTTGGATTAAAA